TGTTGAAAAGGCGCTGGGATCTCCCGTGCTGCGACTCACTGAGTCAGCTCAAACTGCAGCACTGGCTCCTGGCGGATTTTTTTGCCTAGGAATCTCCTGGCCTGGCTCGCTATTTCAGATGAATGGGCAGCTCTGCCGTGTCAGGGCTCCGATCGCCAGCTAAGAGGGCTCCCAGACCAGTAGCTTTTGTACGGAGAACCGCTGCAACAGGACGTGGTCAAAGCAGCCGCGCAGACCAAATCAGCCCTGCGGGGGCCAAAATAGCCACACCGGCTGGGACTGCAGTGCTGGTGACCCCTCTGCCTGGGTATCTCCTGGTCTGTGTGCAATAAAAATTCGTCTGGAAATGCGGCATCCACTCACTGGGTGCTGAAGTCCTGAGCTGTTCTTAGGCGGCCATCTTTCCAGCATTCCGAGATTACCTTCTTGATTTCTTTTTCAGTTATTTTATTATTGGTATACAGAAATGCTACTGATTTTTTTTTTCTTTTTTCAGACAGAGTCTCACTCTCTTGCCCAGGCTGGAGTGCAGTGGTGCCATCCTGGCTCACTGCAACCTCCATCTTCCAATTCAAGCAATTGTCCTACCTCAGCCTCCTGCATAGCTGGTATTACAGGCATGTGTCACCATGCCTGGCTAATTGTTACATTTTTAGTAGAGACAGGGTTTCACCATGTTGGCCAGGCTGGTCTTGAACTCCTGACCTGAAGTGATCTGCCTGTCTTGGCCTCCCAAAGTGCTACTGATTTTCATATGTTGATTTGTATCCTGCAACCTTATTGAATTCATCAAATCTAAGATTTTTTTTTGGTGGAGTCTGTTGGATTTTCTGAATATAAGATCATGTCACCTGCAAAGAGGGACAATTTGAATTTGTCTTTTCCAATTTAGATAACTTTTATTTCTTCCTCTTACCTGATTGCTCTGGCTAGAACTTGCAGTACTGTTTTAGATGGGGGTGGTGAAAGTGGACTTACCCTGTTCTACTTCTTAGACAAAGGGTTTTTAAATTTCTCTATTCAATATGAGGTCAGCTGTGGGTTTGTCATATATAACCTTTAAAATTTTGAGGTATGTTTCTGCTATGCCTAATATGTTGAGAGTTTTTGTCTAGAAGGAATGCTGAATTTTATAAAATGCTTTTTCTGTGTCTATTGAGATGATCATATGGTTTTGGTCCTTCACTCCATTGATGTGATGTATTGTTTATTGATTTGCATATGTTGAATCATCCTTAGATCTTTCACATAAATCCCAGTTGATCTGTATGTGTGCTGTTATGTTTGGTTTGCTGGTATTTTTTCTACAGGATTTTTGTATCTATATTCATCAGGGATATGAGCTTGTAGCTTTCTTTATGTATTTTATGTCCTTGTCTGGTTTTGGTAACACAGTAATGCTGGCATCATAGAATGAGTTAGGGAAAATTCCTCCTTCAATATTTTGAAATAGTTTGAAGAGAATTAGTGATTTTTAATACACTTATATGTTTGGTAAAATTTCTGCTTTATATTATACATTTGGTAGAATTTAGCAATAAATTTATTTAGTCCTGGGCTTTCCTTTCTTGGGAAACATTTTATTACTGATTCCATCTTGCTACTTATTATCAGTCCATTCAGGTTTTCTTTTTCTTCCTGACACACTGCTTAGATTTTTTGTCCATAAATTTATCCGTAACTTCTAGATTTTCCAGTTGGTTAGTATACTGTTGTTCATAATAATCTCTGATGATCTTTTGTATCTGTTGTTTCCATTGTAATGCATCCTTCTTCATTTCTAATTTTGTGTATTTAGAAATTCTCTCCTTTCTTGGGTAGTCTAGCTCATGGTTATAAATTGTATCTTTTTAAAAAACCAACATTTTCTTTTGTCAATTCATTGTATTTATAACATAGCCTTTTTTTTCATTTAGTTCTTCTCTGACCTTTATAGTTTCTTTCTCTCTGCTAATTTTGGGTTTGGTTTATTCTTGCTTTTCTAGGTCCTGCAGGTGCATCATTAAATTGCTTACTTGAAAGGGATTATCTTCCAGTGATGAGGTTGTGGTGACTTTCATTTTCTCCTAATTTTGTATCTTCTGGATTGCTTGCAATTAGTGTACCTTCCTTTTATAATGGGAAAATTTAAGCTATTTCTATTTTTCAAAATAGTCTCACATCTTTAGAAAATTTTTGAAGATATTATTTTAAAAAATGAAAAATGGTTGTTTTCTTGTTGGTATATAGATCACTATACAGATATTTTCCCCCTTAGAATCTCCAGTCACTAATTATACAAATTGCTGGTATATAAATAATATTCAAGGCATTGAAACCAGCCACTATAATGGAGATGGTGAAGAAAAAATTGTTTTGGTCAAAGTTCCGTAAATCAGCCCCATATTTAAAGATTACAGCAGGTGTACTAAAATGAGACACTTCCGTGTTAAAAAGAATTAAAATAGTTCATCAGCTACTTCCAAGGTCTCAGTTCATGGGCCTCTGCTCCTCAGGATCATTGACTGAGTTTAATACTTGTAGTTAAAAGGTTTGTTTGTTTGATTAGAGTACCACAGTAATAAGCTCATGGTCCCAAGAAAACTCTTTTTACTAGATGGTTTTACATGATGAGTAACTGCTTTGCAGCCATAGACTGTAGCAGTATCTCTAGCCAGGACTTCTGCAAACCCAAGGTTATCAAACAGTGGAGCCCAAGAGCAAGCATGTGCCTAGAGTAGCACTAATGTATAACCAGTAATTCCAAAGCACCTTAAAGTTTGCTTCTGTGATATTCAGTCAACAGTACCTTCAGATTCAAAGAAAAGAAAGGATTTATACAGCAGAACTTTGGTATAGACGAGTCATTCTGAGTTTCTCTTTTAAGTAAAACATCTATAATTCCTTGCTCAAAGCAATGAGGCAGCTCATATGGCCCAGAAGCTTATATCATCTGATATCAAAGAAGAAAAGTGAAATAATAACTCCATTAGCATAATATTTAAGACGTTCATCCTAGCTTTAAAGTCAAGTGATTCTTTAAGATGGTAATTAAAATTTGAAAAGTCAGAGAACAAAAGAGCAGAATAAGATTGTAAGTGCAGTTGACAATTGACTCTTAAACAGCATGAGTTTGAACTGCAAGTGTCCACTTACAGGTGGATTTGTTTTCCACCTTTGTCACCTCTGAAACAAGACCAACTTCCCCTTTTCCTCATCCTCCTTGGCCTATTCAACATGAAGACAATGGGGATGAAGACCTTTGTGATGATTCACTTTCACTTAGTGAATAAATATATTTTCTCTTCCCTATAATTTCATTAATAATATTTTCTTTTCTCTAATTTACTTCATTATAGGAATACAGTATATAACACACAAAACATACAAAACATGTTAATCTGCTGCTTATGTTATTAGTAAGGCTTCTGGTCAACAGTATGCTATTAGTAGTTAAGTGTTGGGAAAGTTAAAAGGAACCAGGATTTTGACTGTACAGGGGCAGTGGTCCTAACCCCATTGTGCAAGGGTCAACTGTAATTAAAATTTCAGTCTCTCTAACGAATTTGTGTTCATTCCTCTTTGTTATTTGTGGAAGACAGGTAGATGTAATACTTTGTTGTTCTTACTGATTTACTGATTTCCATGACAGAAAAGATGGAAGAAACTAATTTATATTGGAAAACTTTGCAAGGAGCCACATTAAAGAATTAATTTTGTTTTTTGTTTTTTGTTTTGTTTGTTTGTTTTTACAGAAGCAATTATCAAAGTTTTCTCATTCCTACAACACAGCAAACTTCCAAACTTTATATTTCAGTGTGAAACATGTCAGTAACAGATATGACAAACAATTACAAAATATGCTTAGCGTATTAGTAATTAATTATACTTTAAAATTATTTAAAGCTTTATATCAAGGCTAAAGTATTTTTTTTAAATACTCATTCCCATCATTCTCCTTTCAATGTTCCAAAACCAATTCATCTGAATGGCAATAAAAGAATGTAATTTGATAGATGCAGCTAAGATTACAAGGCAGGAATAATGATTCACAGACCATGGTGCTGAGTATTATTTAGTCAGTATTTCTACAGGTGCTAATGTAAAAGGTCATGTATTTTCTTTTAGACATGTGAACTACAGCATAATTTTACTAGATAGAATGAGAGGTAATTGACTGGTGTCTTCATAATTAAACTTGAGGTCTCCACCAATAAACACCCATCCTGGAATAAGATTCTTACCCACAAAGTGAAAAGTAAGTGCTATAATAAAAAAATTGCTTAGATGATATGCTGACCAGACTACTAAAAACATTTCAAAACAATACTGGTGTAGTAGCATGAGCCTATAGTCCCAGCTACTTAGGAAGCTGAGGCTACAGTGAACTGTGATGGTGCCACTACAATTCAACCTGGGTGATAGAGCAAGACTCTGTCTCTAAATAAATTAATAAATTAACATAAAAAAAGAAAAATTGGGTATTAATTTGCTATCAAAATATGCAAAATGATGACATGTTTGTGTTTTATCTTTTTTTTTCTTTTTATCTTTTTTAGTATTCTTTATTTTGGAATATTTCCTTAGGATAAATTCCAATTAGCTCTTTTGGTGAGACAAAAATGCACAAATATTTTCATGGCTTTGGAACGTGCCTCCAATTGCTTTCTGAAAGGATTATAACATGCATCCTACTGCACTGCGGTGGACCAGTTTCAGTATACCTTCCAGAGATGAGCATTTTAATCTACTTGATCTTAGGACCATTAAATTCTATTTTAGAAATTTGTTTCTGGTTTTATTGTGCTATAAGAAGGGAATTTGGTTGTGGTAAATTTCTGTGTTAAGTGCATCTTTGTAACCAAATGTATATTTTTTCATTTTTATATGGTATTTTATTTTTTTAATTGACAAAATATAGTGTGTATTTACCAGATACAACATAATGCTGTGAAATACATATACATTGTTGATTGGCTAAACTTTTTAATACAGGAAACTTCAAACAAAACAGCATGACAGTGCTTGCCTCAGCAGCATATATACTAAAATTGGAACAATACAGAAAAGATTAGCATGACTGCTGCACAAGGATGACAGGCAAATTCATGAAGCATTCAGTATCTTTTTCCTCCAAGGGATCACAACTCCTAGCCAGCAAGGGAACAAAACTGGATGGAGAATGAATTTGACGAATTGACAGAAGCAGGCTTCAGAAGGTGGGTAATAACAAACTTCTCCAAGCCAAGGAGTATGTTCTAACCCAATGCAAGGAAGCTAAGAACCCTGAAAAAAAGTAAGACAAAATGCTAACTACAATAACCAGTTTAGAGAAGAACATAAATGACCCGATGGAGCTGAAAAACACAGCACGGGAACTTTGTCAAGCATAAACAACTTTCAGTAGCTGAAACAATCAAGCAGAAGAAAGGAAATCAGAGATTGAAGATTAACTCAATGAAATAAAGTGAGAAGACAAGATTAGAGAAAAAAGAGTGAAAAGAAATGAAAAAAGCCTCCAAGAAATATGGGATTACTTGAAAAGACCAAATCTACATTTGATCAGTGTAACTGAAAGGGAAGGGGAGAATAAAACCAAGTTGGAAAACACTCTTAGGATATTATCCAGGAGAACTTCCTCAACCTAGCAAGGCAGGCCAACATTCAAATTCAGGAAATCCAGATACCACCACAAAGATACTTCTAGAGAAGAACAACCCCAAGACACATAATCATCAGATTCACCAAGGTTGAAATGAAGGAAAAAAATGCTAAGGGCAGCCAGAGTAAAAGGTTAGGTTACCCACAAAGAGAAGCCTGTCAGACTCACAGCGGATCTCTTGGCAGAAACCCTACAAGCCAGAAGAGAGTGGGGGCCAATAATCAACATTCTTAAAGAAAAGAATTTTCAACCCAGAATTTCATATACAGCCAGACTAAGGTCCATAAGTGAAGGCAATATAAAATCTTTTACAGAAAAGCAAATGCTGAGAGATTTTGTCACTACTAGGCCTGCCTTATAAGAGCTCCTGAAGGAAGCACAAAACATGGAAAGGAATAACACTATTAAGAAATTGCATCAACTAACGGGCAAAATAACCAGCTAGCATCATAATGACAGGATCAAACTCACACATAACAATATTAACCTTAAATGTAAATGGGCTAAATGTCCCAATTAAAAGACACAGACTGGCAAATTGGATAAAGAATCAAGACCCATCGATGTGCTGTATTCAGGAGACCCATCTCACATGCAAAGACACACACAGGCTCAAAATAGAGAGATGGAGGAAGATTTACCAAGCAAATGGAAAGCAAAAAAAAGGCAGGGGTTGCAATTCTAGTCTCTGATAAAACAGACTTTAAACCAACAAAGATCAAAAGAGACAATGGAGGACATTACAAATGGTAAAAGGCTCAATGCAACAATAAGAGATAACTATCCTAAATATATATGTACCCAATGCAGGAGCACCCACATTCATAAAGCAAGTTCTTAGAGACCTACAAAAAGACTCATATTCCCATACAATAATAGGGAGAGACTTTAACACCCCACTGTCAATATTAGATCAATGAAACATAAAATTAACAAGGATATCTAGGACTTGAACTCAGCTTTGGACCAAGTAGATCTAATAGGCATCTACAGAACTCTCCATCCCAGATCAACAGAATATACATTCTTCTCAGCACCACATCACACTTATTGTGAAACTGACCAAAGAATTGGAAATAAAATGCTCCTTAGCAAATGCAGAAGTACAGAAAGCATAACAGTCACTCAGACCACAGTGCAAACAAGTTAGAACTCAAGATTAAGAAACTCACTCAAAACCACACAACTACATGGAAACTGAACAACCTGCTCCTCAATGACTACTGGATAAATAATGAAATGAAGGCAGAAATAAAGATGTTCTTTGAAACAAACGAGAACGAGAACACAATGTACCAGAATCTCTGGTACACATTTAAAGCAGTGTGTAGAGGGAAATTTACAGCACTAAATGCCCAAAAGAGAAAGCAGGAAAGATCTAAAACTGACACCCTAACATCACAATTAAAAGAACTACAGAAGCAAGAAAAAATAAATTCAAAAGCCAGCAGAAGACAAGAAACAACTAAGACCAGAGCAGAACTGAAGAAGACAGAGACACACAAAAAAAAACTTTAAAAAATCATTAAATCCAAGAGCTGGTTTTTTTGAAGAGATCAACAAAATAGACTGCTAGCCAGACTAATAAAGAAGAAAAGAGAGAAGAATCAAATAGATGCAATCCCATAGAAACACAAACTACCATCAGATAATACTGTAAACACCTCTACACAACTAAACCAAAAAATCTATAAGAAATGGATAAATTCCTGAACAATTACACCCTCCCAAGACTAAACTAGGAAGGAGTGGAATCCCTGAATAAACCAATAACAAGTTCTGAAATTGAGGCAGCAATTAATAGCCTACCAACCAAAAAAAAAGTCCAAGACCAGATGGTTTCACAGCCAAATTCTACCAGAAATACAAAGAAGAACTGTTACCATTCCTCTGAAACTAGTCCAAACAATAGAAAAAGAAGAAATCCTCCCTAACTCATTTTATGAGGTCAAAATCATCCTGATACCAAAACCTGGCTGAGACACCCACACACACAAAAAAAGAAAATTTGAGGCCAATATCCCTGATGAACATCGATGCAAAAATCCTCAGTAAAATACTGGCAAAATGAATCCAAGAAGCTTATCCATCATGATCAAGTAGAATTTCTCCCTGGGATCCAAGACTGGTTCAACATTCACAAATTTACAAATGTAATCCATCACATAAACAGAACCAAAGACAAAAACCATGTGATTATCTTAATAGATGCAGAGAAGGCCTTCAACAAAATTCAATAGCCCTTCATACTAAAAACTCTCAATAAACTAGGTATTTATGGAATATAGCTCAAAATAAGAGCTATTTATGACAAACCCACAACCAGTATCATACCGAATGGGCAAAAACTAGAAGCATTCCCTTTGAAACCCAGCACAAGACAAGGATGCCTTCTCTCACCACTGCTATTCAACATAGTGTTGGAAGTTCTGGCCAGGGCAATAAGGCATGAGAAAGGAATAAAGCGTATTTAAATAGGTAAAGAGGAAGTCAATTTGTCTCTGTTTGCAGACGACATGACTGTATATTTAGAAGACCCTATCATCTCAGCCCAAAATCTCCTTAAGCTGATAAGCAACTTCAGCAAAGTCTCAGGATACAAAATCAATATGCAAAAATCGCAAGAATTCCTATACACCAGTATCAGAAAAACAAAGGGCCAAATCGTAAGTGAACTCCCATTGACAATTGCTACAAAAAGAATTAAACACCTAGGGATGCAACTTATCAAGGGATGTGAAGGACCTCTTCAAGGAGAACTACAAACCATTGCTTAAGGAAACGAGAGAGGACACAAACAAATGGAAAAACATTCCGTGCTCATGGGTAAGAAGAATCAATATTGTGAAAATGGCCATATTGCCCAAAGTAATCTATAGATTCAGTTGTATCCCCTTCAGGTTACCACTGACTTTCTTCACAGAATTGGGAAAAAAAATCACCTAAAATTTCATATGGAACTAAAAAAGAACTTGCATAGCAAAGACAATCCTAAGCAAAAAAAAGGAAGCATCACACTACATGACTTCAAACTGTACTACAAGGCTACAGTAATCAAAACAGCAAGGTACTGCTACCAAAACAGATATATAGAGCAATAGAACAGAACAGAGGCCTCAGAAGTAAAACCACACACCTAAGATCATCTGATCTTTGACAAACCTGACAAAAACAAGCAATGGGGAAAAGATTTTCTATTTAATAAATGGTGTTGGGAAAACTGGCTAGCCATATGCAGGAAGCTGAAACTAGATCCCTTGCTTACACCTTATACAAAAATTAACTCGAGATGGATTAAAGATTTAAACATAAGACCTAAAACCATAAAAACACTAGAAGAAAACCTAGGCAATACCATTCAGGGCATAGGTATGTGCAAAGACTTCATGACTAAAACACCAAGAGCAATGGCAATGAAAGCCAAAATAGACAAATGGGATCTAATTAAACTAAAGAGCTTCTGCACAGCAAAAGAAACTATCATCAGGGCAAACAGGCAACCTACATTTCTGCATTTCTCAGGCCATCTATTTATAATCTTTTATTGCACATAGCTCCTCTCCTCTGAGGTTTTTATCACAACTATAATTCTGTAATCAATTGAGTGTTTAATTAAATGTCTGTCTCTCCCTTGAGGTAATGGGCTACCCAAGGGAAGGAGCCCTAACTTGTCAACTATGTGCTTCTATCCCTTTCACAAAGCCACTTAAAAAGCACTTGCCACTTTTACACTGTTGGTGGGAGTGTAAATTAGCTCAACCATTGTGGAAGACACTGTGGCAATTCCTTAAGGACCTAGAAATTCCATTTGACCCAGCAATCCCATTACAGGGTATATAGCCAAAGGATTATAAATCATTCTGTTATAAAGACACATGCACATGTATATTCATTGTGGCACTGTTTACAATAGCAAAGACCTGGAACCAACCCAAATGCCCATCGATGACAGACTGGACAAGGAAAATGTGGCATATATACACCATGGAATACTATGCAGCCATAAAAAACTATGAGTTCATGTAGGGACATGGATGAATCTGGAAAACATCATTCTCTGCAAACTGACACAAGAACAGAAGATCAGTCACTGCATGTTCTCACTCATAGGCAGGTGTTGAACAATGAGAACACATGGACACAGGGAGAAGAGCATCACACACTGGGGTCTGTTGAGGGGGAATAGGGGAGGGAAAGTAGAGGTAGGGAGGTTGAGGAGGGATAACATGGGAGAAATGCCAGGTATAGGTGACGGGAGGATGGAGGCAGCAAACCAGATTGCCATGTATGTACCTATGCAACAATCCTGCATGTTCTGCACATGTACCCCAGAACCTAAAGTGCAATAAAATATATATTTTTTTAAAAAAAAAGCATTTGCCAGTTGAAAGGATTTGAGTAAATTTACTACTTTAGAAATGATGTAAACAATACTGCAGAATAAAATCAATATATTCAGAATGTGT